AGGCAGTTTCAGGGTACACTAAGAGGTTTTCGCAGCCTCGGGGAAGCTCAGACGAAGCCTGAAACCCTAAACCAAAAACCCTAAACCCTAAACCCTAAACCCTAAACCTTAAACCCTGAACCTTAAACCTTAAACCCTAAACCCTACACCCTAAACCCCTAAGCCCCTAAACCCCTAAACCTTAAACCCTAAACCCTTGTCTTGTGGGATGATCACGTCTGAAGGCCCTCCTCAGAGGCAGCGGCCTGGCGAACGAGCTGAGATCTTCGTCGTCGGCCGCTGCCATCACAACAGTACAGAGAACCCAATACCCCTTAAGTAAGGGATATACCTTAAATCATAATACTGTATGAAGGCCCTTGTAATTTAAGGTATATTCCTTACTTAAGGGCTCTTGGGTTCTCTGGGAGTACATCCGGCTGCACGCCATCGAAAAGGATTTTCAGACTTGGGTCCAGGGTTTTAGGGTTTTTGAGATTTAGGGCCCTGGTTGATGAAACCACGAAAAACCTTGAACCCTAAACCTTAAACCCCCCACAGTAAGTCTCAAGCTGCGAAGTTCGAGGTCTTCGCCACCACAGGAGCTCGTGGCCTGGCTAGAATTGGTCATCGGGACCCTTTTTGGGGTGGGTTTTAGGGTTTTGGGCTGAACTTCCCTTAAATTTGGCCTTCTTTGGGTCCTTATTACTTTTTTCAAGGCCCCCTACCCCCCTTCCCCCCCTAACCCTCGCCCCCAAGGGTCCCTATGAATGGGCAGAGCTAGCACGCAGCGGGGTGAAGGCTTTCCCAGGTTTCGGGGTTTCGGGTGGTTGGTGCACCCAGAGAACCCAATACCCCTTCATTAAGGAATATACTTTAAACCATAGTATATTTTAAGGTGTATTCCTTAACCCTAAACCCTAAACCCTAAACCCTAAACCCTAAAGTATTCCTTAACTAAGGGGTATTGGGTTCTCTGTGCAAGCCGCAGACAAAGGGCCTTTGGACGATGCTGCCGCGAGGAGTCTCGGGTTGAGGGTTTAGGGTTTCTTAGGGAGCCTAAAACCCCTTAAGTAAGGAATATACCTTAAATTATAATATCAAGGCCCTCATAGTTTAAGGTATATTCCTTAATTCAGGGGTATTGGGTTCTTTGGTTTAGTCTCCCTAAACTCCTAAACCCTAAACCCTTAAGCTTGAAATCATTACTTCGGGGCAGCAAATTTGAAGGTTTCAGGGTTACAGCAGGCTTCAGAGCTTGGAACGTTGGCAGAGAACCTAATGAATGCCCCTTAATGAAGGAATCTACCTTAAACTACAGGGTCTCAATATTATGATGAAAGGTATATTCCTTAACCCTAAACCCTAAACCCTAAACCCCAAATAAGGGGTATTGGGTTCTCTGGGTTCAGGGTTTTGCCAGCATTTGGACTTTGCAGAGTCCCAGATCACCAAGCGTGTCGTGACGCAGCCACTGCTGAGCACCCTAAACCCTAAACCCTAAACCCTAATACTTTTTGGTAGGGGCGTAACGCATGGCTTTTGCCCTAAACCCTAAACCCTAAACCCTAAACCCTAGACCCTAAACCCTAAACCCTAAACCCTAAACCTCAAAGTCCTAAACCGTACACCCTAGTCCCCGAGACCCGCAGCTTCTGCACCCTTGAACCGTAAGCCCCATATCCCAAAGTCTTCACCCCCCCCCCCTCCCCCAAAAAAAAACAAAAAAAATACAGCCAGAACTCCTTAAGCCCCCATGAATCTTGCGAACTTGTGCGAAGGATGCATGTAAGCAAATCAGAAGAAGAAAGAACTCAACACGGACGTTTTTTATAGTGTTCAAGTTTGGCCTAGGGCCTAGGGCTGTAGATCCCCCGTCCGTCGCGCTCCCCCTAAACCGAAACCCTAAACCTGTATTCTCAAACTCTAAATGGCTAAGCCCTAAACCTAAACCCTAAACCCTAAACCCTAAACCAGAACTGCTAGGTGGAAAAGGTGCTTGTAAAAAACCGTACATTCTAAGCCTAAACCCTAAACCTTACTTAGCCAGCGGGAGAACTTTAAACTTTTTGGCCTTATATATCTAGTCTATAGTAGAAAGTTCAAACTTTTTTGGACTTGGTTATTGACGAAGAGACAAACCCTAACTTCCTAAACCCTAAACCCTAAACCCTCAACCCTAAACCCTAAACCCTAAACCCTACATCTTAAACCCATCCGAGGCGCAACGGCTCCAAGGGTGGTCCTGGACGTCGGTCCCGGCTCAAAGCTCAAGGTCCGGGGAGCTGAGCTGAGGGTTTAGGGTTTAGGGTTTAGGGTTTCGGGTTTAGGGTTTAGGGGTTAGTTGTTGGGCTTCGATCCGGATCAGAGGTTGGGACCTAATTCTAGGACATTCTAGAAGGGTTTAGGGGGCTTCTTGGGGTTTGGATTTAGGGTTTTAGTTGAAGTTTAGGCGGTTTTGTTGCGGATTTGGTTTAAGGTCTCATGTGAGCGGCCCTAAACCCTAAACCCTAAACCCTAAACCCTAAACCCTATACCCTAAACCTGTTGGGGTTTTGGTTTTCGGAGTTTTTATTGAGGCTTAGGGCTAGGCAACCTCCAGAGACACCCTAAACCTTAAACCCTCAAACAGGCACTTCGAGGAATCCTGAATCCTACCTGTAGTTTAGGGTTTAGGGTTTAGCGTTTGTCTCCATTGTAGTTACTTTTTGGGGATGCCTTA